TCAATGGAAAAGATAACCACATGATGAGAGATCGATTGTTTGCTTGATGCAGATACCTTCAGACAGTGGCGATTAGTACTATCGAAAAATTGATCAATATCGCTAATAGAAACGTTCAAACACTTTTGTGTTAACAAATAAAATAGATATTATGATTCTCTTTCTGCAAAAGAACTGATTTAATGCTACCAGAAATTAATCAGTTATTCCAACAATTTCTTCACTCATACTTGCTTGGGAGACTCGGTATGTAGTTCTTTGCAACTTTTGTTAGGATAATCCTTTCTTTTTCTTGGATAAACTGTAACATCTAGAATCAAAACACTTTCAGCAATGTTAAGAGAAAAGTTTCCTATATAATTAATATGTAACTCTGTGATCATTGATTTTATGTAAACATTGGTTTTCACATCTTATTTTGCAAGTAAACTTAAATTTCCAAAAAGTGATATCCGAAATAATATTTTCGACGTTACGTGTATGATGCAATATTCCATTCAGTAAGACTTGATCGTATAATAGATAAATAACTCTTTATCTTTATATATTGTTCTTGGAAAAGCTAAGAGACAATTGAGATTGTCAAAAAAAGAATTATATCATTTTTCAATTGTTATTTTTATTTTTATTTAATTTGTTCTTATCAAATAAAATATGAAGAACAGCTAATGCGCTTGAATTTTCCGGTCGATTCATCAGTCTAATAAAATTCAATTATGATTGAAAATCGGTTTATTCAAAACCAAATAACCGGCGCATTGTCAACATTTCTTCTTGTTGTTGTTTTTTTGTCCCTATTACATGACTTATCTCAAGCAAAGAAATATATATTCATTTACAAATCATTTCAAACGATAAATACATTTATCTAATGTCTAAAATGAAGTATATATACAAATAAAAGTTATTATACAAGTTTTTATCTACAAAATTTAGCTTAAAAGTTTCATGCTTATTTTATCGTTAGCATCAATACGTTCGAGTGTTTTACAAAACTTTTCGAATGTTATTGATTTATTACCATCTTTATTCTATAACAAAAGATCAATTAATTATACATTTAACAACCATAGTCAATTACCAATTCACTAATTATTACAATTTGTTGATCATAAATATTTTCACTAACCCTCATTTTAAGAACTTCAAGTAATTCACTTACATTAAATAAAAATCTTAATTTACGTTTCTGTATATTAAATTCTGTTATTCATGATTTAATTTTTCCTTGTCGAAATTTTACAAGAAGCAATATAAATTATTTAAAATTAGTTTTATTATTTTCACCATAATCTTCCATAATAACATCAATTAAATGTTCATCTAATGAATTTATATTAACTTCTGAAATTCATAATAGATCTTCTCATATTAATAATCGAAAAACCCGGTTATCTAATGCTTTAAACGGCTATATAAACGTTGAACTTCTTTACTAGCAAAACATCTAAATAATACAATAGTTAACATCAATAAAGTTGTTTTCTAATTTAACAGTAGAATACAGGGTGTCCTAGTAATAACCTACCAAAAAGAAAAATGCATATATTCACCATACTTCCACTGAATGAGGTAATTTTTTCCTTGATGAGCGAGTAAAGTTCTAAGTTATTTTTCAACAACAAAAAGTTTAGTAACATCGCTTAAAACGATATTATTTGCTTAAAAGAGAAAAATCTATGCATTCTGCCAAAGGTAAACGACAGAGTGTGGGTGTGAGTAAACGAAAGAGGGATAGCCACATCCACTCACATCCACACCCATCCTTATTTTTTAAACTGGTTCGTTAGAAATGTTAAAAATGCAGATGAACTTCAAATGATCGATCGTAATCAATTACGTCTGAGTACGATACAATGTGGTAGGTAAATAAATTATTTATTTAATTACTTTTTCGTTCTATTTTCTACGTTAACATTCATATCATATTTAAATCTTTAGCTATTTAAGCGTATTGTATGATAAAAGATTCAAAGAATGGAGAAAAACATGGGATCAAATCGAAAAAAATGAAGAACTATCTCATATTCAAAAATTTTTTCAAATGCTTCTATCGAATGATGCAACAATGGATTATTATTATTCATTTTATGAAAATGATGTATTAGATGATAATAGTCCATGGCCTTGTATAATATGCCAAAAATGTTTCGATCGGAGAGAATGCAATTGTGAACAATATAATAAATGTATGTATTTCATTAAAAAAAAGAAGTCAGTAATCTTTGATCAAAAATACTAACAATATGAATTTCTTCAGGTACCTGTGGTCTCTCCTTGCGATGTGAACGATGTGAAAGAAAAAGTCAAATGTCTGGTTTCGGCTAGAATAGTATACCAGATTTTTTAGTTGTTTAGGTTGAATTTTTTTGTTGAACAGTATTTTCTTGCTTTTATATTAAATTAAAAATTCAACGAACAAACTGTGAATCATTGTTGTTAGATAAACAGGTTTTTCTTATTCTGGAAGGAATGAAATTCACTATAATTTAATGAAGATAGTTCGATTTATGTGCAGTGCATTAAATGAAATTTATTGAAAATTCTGTGCTTATGTTTGTAATCAGATTCTTGACTTTGTTAATTAATGACTATATATTCTTGTTACTATTTGAAGTGACAAAATATTTTATTCATTTGTCAATTTTATAGTTTACTTCGTCAATATTTTTTTTATTAGATATGAGAATTATTTTAGATGATTCACCAATGGAAATGAGTTTTGATATTGAACTGTTTTCTTTAGAATCATTATCAATATTACAATGTATTCATAAGAATTGTCCTTTGTTTTCGACAATTGATTCAATTCGAAAAAGTGGAATGTATTTCCTTGTTCGATTTTCTCTTCAAAGATTTTTTTTTCAAGTCACTTTCACTATAATATTTGCAAAACAATCAAAACAAATGTGACGCAGGGAAATAACTGAACGAATTTCCATATGATTGGTTCATGCATCATTGATGTGAAATGGACAGGAATCAGATTGGCATTCGATTCATTTCAAATTTTAGATTTAGCAAAAAAGAAAACTTAAAAGCATTTTCCAGATCGTTCAAACGAAGTTGACAAGAATTTTGATTTCGACGAAAACATGTTCGCTACATATGAACTTTTGATTGTGTCACAATTGAAATTTGAAGAACTGTTAATCTATATTAAAAATCTAATGACGTCTAGATCAGCTGCAGTCGAAGTAGATAACGTCATTTGCTGACAATAATGAGACTTTCAAAAATAAAATTCGTGTCTTCATTTGATCGAAACTTCTGGAAAAAAAAGATCAGTTCGGAAGAAAATTTACTATTTCCAAAAGAAAATTACATGAATTGGAAAGAACAAATTTAAGTCTTCGTATTTTTTTATCTACATTATAGAGGATGCGAGTGTGTGACAGAAAACAAAAAAATATTCATACCCACACCTCACCCTAAACATAATCGCTACCTACTATATCATTTAGCGTTCTATTAATTGTCATGAAATCATGTTAGACAATGATTATTGTAAACTTGTAATATATGACAATCGTGATCTGGAACATATTTTTTGATGAAGCAGCACTGTCAATATCATCGTGAAGAACTTTGCAGGGAAGTTATAGCTAAAACTATTGTCTGTGTTGGTTTTCGTCGAATAAGTGCCGGTGTTGTAGATTTTATTGTTCGCAGTGAAATGCTTCTAAGTATATCATCAAGCAGGCCCGAGTATTATTTGTTAAAAGATCACATGAATCCAGTATTAGCTGTTGATTAAACTGGAATAGCATTCGTGAGTAGTACAAGTCATTGATATGCGAACTATAGCATGGCTTATCTTAGATAAGACGATGAAAAACATGGCAATTTTTCCAGAAAAAGTGAAGATCAACTCTTGGAATTGGCCATTGTTATTGAGGTAAGATGCTTTACTGAAATTGGAAGATAGGGCTTGAATACAGAATTCAGTGACGCACGATGTAGTTGTATCTAAACGAGTTCATCTTATGTATTACGAATCTAATTTATAATAGCGTCTATTGACACATAGATCCTTATTCGCATACTCACGCTCAACTAACATTAATTCAATTAACAACTAAGTTGTGTGTGTGGATTTGAGGGAGAAGCAGACCCATACATTTACTCTGTTCCTATTAGAAAGTGAGGAAGAAAACTAAGAGTCTTGGGCGGGTAATTATAAGTGATAGTTTTTGAAAGTTATTTGTGAAAATCAGAGCACTGCAGAGCCTACGTGCTTGTCAGTTTAGCTTTCTGCTACCATGAAATTTGAGTAAAAAGTACGCTAAAATTTTTTAAGCTGTTAATATATTATTGTAATCCTTTCCGAAATGTTTCATAGCATGTTCAATATTTTATCCTCCCGAGTATAACAGTCAGTACTCGTTTTGTAGAGAATTACGCAAAAAATCTTTCGATGAAAACAATGCAACACAATTTAGTGTAAAAACCAAGAGAAACATCGAAAATATTGTTAGTATTCTACTTATTTATGGCTCATCCATCAGAACTCTTCACAGTATCGAATTCTTGTTCGTTTATTTAAAAACAATAGATCAATTTCCAGCAAAAGCTATTTAATGAAGCCAAGATACGTCAGATATGTGAAGTATGATGATCTCGCTTTATTTTTATATGACAGCCCTCTAACTATTGATTAGTTATACCAAAGCTTAAAGAGAGCACAGCAGCGATGAGAATGATGGTTTTTCTATCGTCAAAATCTCATATATATTCAATGTGCAATAGTCCATCTTGAATCTGATATTCCGAAGTTGAAAAAATCGAACCAAGATATTGGCATGCTCATCACGATCTGCTGCAATTGGTAAGTGGTAAAGTATATTCCAAACTGTACAGCACATGGTAACACTTTCATATAGGAACCAAAGTTTTCAAATTATTATTTAAAAGAGATGCATAAAGCTTGTAAACACACTTGCTGTAATTAATCAGCACTTATTCTCATGGACAGTTCATAGTTTTATGCCTAGCAAGTGTCAGCGTGTAGTTAATGCTGCGACAGTTGCAAGCCGTCGACGATAGAGAGTTTTTATCCAGTTGAGCGATTCGGAAAAAAGAATCAGATAAATCCACGGAAGTACAAACTCTACGGAACTAATAAGTTCATTTAAATAATTATTTTGTACATCGACAAGGAAATTCGGATAGCCAAGTATTTGAACAAGACTGACGATCATTGGTGGGAAAAAAGCAACTATATAAATACTGGAAACATAGAACAATTGTGTTGCCATGCGCCATTGTCGTTGCCAATTCATCGTTTGTCGCATACGACGTTTCTGTAAAATGAAACGCATGAAAAGTAATATATTAGCAAGCGCATTTAAGACAGTCGGTACAGCTCCATTGAATATGCAATCAAATGTTGCGAGAAACTTATCAAAAATTAAATAACAATTTGCATAGCCACATCCATTTTTCGTATAGTCCCATAAAATATTATCACATGGATACATAATAATAGCAAAAGTATAAAATATTACTGGATAGATCAAGCAAATCAGTAATGGCAGATAATGAAGTAGTATTTGCCTTGAATATTTTTGCAACAATTGTGAATTGAAGATGAACATATGACGTTGAACAGAAATTGTAGCTATCAAAAAAACGTTCATTACATTTAGTGTATAGTCGATAAAAGTTTGAAAAATGCAAAAGATTGGTACAGCTAGCTTGACATGGCCAAAATCATAAAAATTAAGTGAAAACGATATGGTCAGCATCAATTGAAAAGTATTGACTACGAGTAAAATAAATAGAGCTTTATTTTGAGGTTTTTGCCAAATAGTACGATTAGTAAAGAAAAATACAAAAATAAATAGAGAGAGTGTGATGGACGAAATTTGTAGTATGAGATATAACGAAAATTTGATTCTATACTTGAGAAAATTGTCGTCCGTACTTGATACTGCATCTGTCCCATTCATTGCTGTACACGTCTTTGTAAAACAGTTCCAATGAAATAATGAGCTGTATTAGAGATACTGTCGTTACTTTTCCAAAAATATGCTTCAGATGGTGCTGTCAAAACTCATTTTTATCAGAATTACATCAAGTCTAGTGCAATTTCTGCCTGAATTTTTCCTGTCACCTAAATTATGAATAAAAGAAAACTAGAATTTCTAAAAACACTAGAGCAACGTAGAACATGACAAACACATCGAAAATCTATCTCAAGCATTATTGATGGTCAACACTTTGATGTATCTGTCATCGTGAATGACGTTATAGAATTTCTTTTCTGTTTATCTTTTTCAGCGTATGACAGTCGAGATTTTTTTGCTAAGAACGTTCGAGCTTGATGCAAGAGAGAATCGATTATGTTCAGTTCTCTCGCTGCGAACTTGAACATTCATTTTCAATCAAGTTTCATAAAATGATGACTTTAGCATCGAAATCGTTACCGATCTAATGGGAAAATGAGAAGTTATCATTTTGGGCTGTAGTGAACACTGTTTGTGTTCTACCTTTTACCTTCTTGCACTATATCCCTCGACAATATATCGTTATGTTTCTGATATGATTATTTAACTTGTAACAGAGAAAAGAAAGAAAGACAATGAAATATATCAATTGTGGGTTTGTTCACTATGCATAACTTTCTTCATTTGCTGGTGACACGAATGTTACTATTGGCGCAAATCGACGACTAAAATTGAGATTTTGAAGAGTAGAAAAGAAAAATCGATTGTCAATTAGAAAATATGGGTGGGTGAGTCAGGGTATATTTCTTGTCCTCAAACTATTCACCCTTTAAATAGGTAACTTGAACTATAGATTTCCATGCCACGTTGTTCCCGTTCACTGCAGAAGGATGTGGTATGAGGGTGAATGTAGTTACTCTAAGCAACCAGGCTCACACTAGTGCAACGCACAGCCAGATTCTAGATCACAAAAGGAAGAGCAAACTGATGCAGGACAGCTACGAAAAAATGAAACTTCGAGATACTTTCAGGCTCGAACAGTGCTGTAAGTACTGAGAGGTGTTGGAGTTGCTATGGTTCTTATACATAGTCTATATTGAACCGAACAGTATGGTGATAGTTGTGAACAGGACTGAACTAATTCCAAGCAGTTTGGGGTTAGTAAGCTATGTCTGATGAGTTTCGATTGGTATAGTGGACTTATCAAACTACTTGACATTGTGTGTAATGGCGCCGTGCTACAATATCTTCTGGACTTTACAAATATTAACTCTTTACATAAATCCACGAGCAAAGAAATCTCTCATATACACATTGTGAAGTACCAAAATAAGATCATAGTCAATCATTAAATGATGGGCTTGTAGAAGTGAAATTGCTAGTTGATTTGTCCACGTTCTGCTTGCCCGAAAATTGTAACCAGGTTTCTCAGCCTTAAACACACAATTGTAGTTTGTATTTTATGTCAACAACGAATTTTTGGGAGTCAGAAAGCTGAGTTTGAATTCAGTTTTCCTGAAAACTTTGCTATCATGATAAGTAATAGAAATTGAGCTTTTTGAAAGTGGCTTCCTAGATGTTATTTTTAAAAGGCAGCTTGGATACGAGCAGTATTTCCTTATAAATCTCAATGGTTAGTTTGCTATCAAGAAAAGTCGGATTTAAAAAGGAATATCGCTCAAGTGAATGCAAAAGATATGTTTGAATTGGCTGTATTTCTGACTTTAAATATTATTCTTAATCCTAAGATGGTGAGTCTTCACGAATGCATATGTTTGTCTGTACTTTGTTTCTTTGAAAAAAATAGACAAATCAAATTTGTGCATATCTGAAATTGGAAAAATTAGAGGTTTATAGCATGAAATGCTCAATCACTTATTGATTTTTTGTATTCAGATCTTAACAAATGAAGTTTCTGAGCATAAATGACCAAGCAATCCGAGTGTGCGTGTGAACTGGTTAGAGTTTGTAATTATGATTGTAGATGAGTATGGATGTTTGTCGATGTTCTTTGGTTATGATATCTTTAATTGGTAGCCGGGATCCGTGTTGCAACCGGTAACGGTAAACGTCGGTCTAGATTTTTTTCGATCTCTTGTATATTTCTTTTCCAAATACCAATTATAGATGTTTTTATTTTTGCATACGAAACTAGTTTTATGTTATCCATGATTATTTCTATCCAAGAACGTGAATTAGAATATTTATACTGAGTTGATTTTCACCCAAACTACCTAATATATTTTGTCAAGTCACCTCGACATCGAATTATACCATCGAATCAACATCATGGAGTCGCCCTCTGTCATTGTAATTTGTTACATCACTGATCTCATTTTGTATAATTTATAAAATATCCTTGAAAGACAAAAGAGATAGAAAAGTAAACTTGTTGAGAGATGCAGAGTACATTTACAGTCGACTCGGGTTTTCTATGTCTGATGAATATTCCATGAAGTATGCTGGGCTAATATAGAATCCATAGTCCTCTGAAATTTTATGTCCTTCGATAGTTCCTAAAAGAGAGAAAGCCTATAGAAATAGATAATGAAGAGCAAGCTTTCATTACAATCCCTACAGAATAAAAGTATTAAGCGAGACGGAGCTACTTTAATTATTTTGAGAACTCAAGGAGGAAAATTCATCATCAAAATGACAGATCATTACGAAACCAAAAGCCAGGAAATTAAAAAATCTGCTAAATCGCTTCAGACACAAAAACCTTTGTCACTGGGTAAGGAGAGTGTCAGCATCTTTGCAGCTATTTTCGAAGGAAGTCAAGAAGGTAGGATGAATAGTCTCGTCGTGAAATTCAACCGAGGAAAAATAGCTGAGACTGCGCTTGTGAAGCTCCATGAACTCCCGAAGTCTTCTGAAGCCTTCAAGCCCGTTATTTCGCCTTCGACTCAAATACTGATTGATAGTGATGCTTCACAAAAGTACTTTAATAGTGACACAAAAGTATTAAGTAATATCTGTAGTGAGTCATAGGTAGGTGTGACTCATCGAAAATTTGATATAACTCTTAGAACTCGAGAAAACTCACTAATGACTCATTCCCATCTACCGACTGGTTCGGTACTGGCGTGGAACAAAAATCTGCCGGTCGTGATACTGGTCTGGATTAATGCAGCGGTATATGTTGAGTAATTTTATTAAGTCACCTATTTACGGGGGAACCCTGACTAGCTGATCATCGATCGTACAGAAACTGGATTCGTTGAAATCCTGTATAGAAAATTTTGAAATGATTGAATACGTCATGCTACATGCCTCCGATGTTCTGCATTTTTTGATATATACTAATCTGATTAGTTGTTTTTCTTCAAAGAGCCAAAGCACAAGCAAACCTATCCGCTCCAGCGGAGCCACCATTTTAGAATTGTGAATAGTATTTTAAGCCACTAATACGGCTAGTATAAGCATAGGGATCTGCAAAGTAGCATTGACCCCATTGGAACTAGGATAGAAACTAAAAAATTTGCTAAATTGGTCTTGAAAAATTTTTTTTGCCAAGAGCTCGACTATACATGTTCATATGTATTGTTTGTTATGACTAACAATGTTCAAATCGACTGTTTTTATCTACAAGCCTCGTAAGCCTCTTTTATTGGTTGCGATGCGAATATAAAAAATCGGAATTTTTCGATGGTTCGTATTGTCTTAAATAAAGCAATTTATACAATACACGCAGATTTTTGTGCATGGAACTTTAACCATTGCATTGATTGCATATTTTTGTCATTGTTTTTCTACTATGACTAGAAGTAGCTCTTTATTGTTATTACTGTACTTTCGTATAGTTCAGAAACAATACTTTAGTCGTAATTTAGATCAAGAATATAAATCTCAAAATCAAGGCTTACTCTTGCAAATAATTGTATCATGAGGATATCAAAGAGTTAAGAATCTGAAAAGTCGTTTGCTTTTAGTCTCGGCATCATCTTATAGCGTCATAGTAACAATGGTAGTCATACTTTTGAAGATCATAAAATACTGATACTCCCAAATTGACTTTTGAAGTAACATTAGGTTAAGGGCATTCATCTAGTTTTACTTTGTATTCAACGACTGTGAACTCTGAGAGGACTTTTTGACTCACACGGTTGAAATGCATCGAAACTGTGGATGGAACAATAATGGTTTTGTATATTCCTAACTAGCGAGAACCCGTGCATACTGTACAGTTGTTTTTTATCATCGAAAGCAACTTTTCCGTAAGGAAGAGGGATCGTCAGGATAGAATTGAAATCTTCATCTCCGTTCTATCAAAACAGTTTATTTACGTAGTTTTCGTTTTATTTAGAAAAATCAAATTTACAAAATTTCTTTAAAAAGAATGTTTTTAGTTTTATTTTTTTCATTGTTTTTTTTTCTTCTTTGATGACTTGCACTTTGATAGATGTTAGAGAGCGAATCTGGAAAAAGCAACGTATGGTTGCCCATGGCTGAAAACTGGTTGTGGTAGAAGTAGTCCTAATTGTTGAAATGTCTGTCCTTGTGATTTTTTAATTGTCATAGCAAATGAGAGTCGAATAGGAAATTGATGTCTACGTAATTTAAAAGGTAAAAATGTATCAGACGATGTCATTGTAATTTTTGGTATTAGAACTCGGCTTCCTTTGTTACATCCAGTTGCGACTTCACAATCAATCATGTGATTTTGTAAACGTCGTACAATGAGCCGAACTCCATTGCATAGACCTTGATGAACATCGAGGTTTGCGAAGAAACATAACAATTGTATCGATCTTTAGTTTAAGTTTATGAGGAAGCATTCCTGATGGTGTGATGCTATTCAAAAATTCTGTGGGATAGTTGGTTGCATCATCACCATCTTCACACTCTTCTTCATCCACGCTTGTGTACAGTTTTTCTATTCCGAGTAACCGTCGAAGAACTTCTTCATTTACCAGGAGAGAACGTTCATATTTGGGACAGAGAATTGTTCTGTTGCATAGAGATAGAACATCTTCTATAGAAATTTATTGGCCAAATATCTCGTCGACCAAATTATAGTGTAACATGCAGGAGCTAGGCAATTCGACTTCGACATATTCGTTTGATGTTAATTCACCATTGTCAAGTTTAATAAGCCATTTTGAGAACTTTTCTTCACCTGGTCCTGTTCTCATATTCTGGTGTAGATGCATTACCTTGAAGTAAGACCAGAAGTCAGAACTTGTGAGACTTGCTGCAACTAGATCTGATCTGTTTGCAAGTCGAATGATTGGAAGAACTTGTCGAAAATCTCCACCAAGTATCATAATTTTTCCTCCGAAAGGTGCATTGATATTCATTATATCTCTCAGCAAGATATCAACTGCCTTGAGAGCATACGATGGAGCCATTGGTGCTTCGTCGCCAATGAAAACTTCTGTTTTTCTAATTTCTTCAGCTTCCTTGCTGTTCGGCCGAATGTTGAATGTAGACGTTTCTAAGATAGGTACAGGAAGTTTGAAACGCCTGTGTACAGTTCTTTCTTCAGGCAGTAAACTTGCAGCAATCCCTGTCCAAGCAGCTGACATAACATGGACGTCTTGTCCTATGAATAAATGGTACAGGGTATTATAAAGGTAGGTTTTTCCTGTACCTCCAGACCCATCTATGAAGAAACATGAGCCAACAGTGGTTGATTGTTTACGACGAGCTGCAAGAATTACATCTGCTGCTGAACGTTGATCTTGATTCAACATTGCATACATTTCTTGTCCTATTCGAAGTTCTTCTTCTTTGTTGATTATTTTTGATTCAAATGAATAAGAAACAGATGTTGGTGATGGTATACCAAAATCACTGCAACTTCGACCTTGTTCTTTCGGATTTTCATCGATTGCATAAAATGCCATTGCTTCTGCATTTTCAGCATCCACCTGTTGCATGAAGTCCTCGGCCATATGTGCTTTAAACGAATTCCAGAGATCAATCGATTTTGTTGGATTATAGTATAGAAGTATCACAAAGAAAAGTGTTCTTAACTGTTGTGGCATCTGGAAGATAACGGATTCAGCCATGCATCTTTCATATTCAGTATCATCACGTAATAGACCTCGTCGTTTAGCAGCTTCCATGAATGTTTGACAGACTTGGCTGTCTATTATTTTGAGATCATCAAAACTACAGGCACCATGAGTATGCAACAGGAATAATCGAAGATGGTAGCGTTCTACATCACTGGGACTGACGAAATACATGTGACCGATGACATTTTCACCTTGTAGTCGATGCTTACATGTCCCACTTCGTTCAAAAACAAAGTGATGCGGGATATCATGGTAGAGAGAGGGATGTCATAATATCCGGAACTCGGTATTGAGAGTTTCAAACATCGATATATCCCAGAACAGCGAGGAATTTGAGGGAATTTGGTGTAACGAGATGGATATCCGAAAAGTCGGTGCCGGTGGGAGTGTGGACGTCGATTTGTGTGTGGATGTTGGTGTGAGTGGCGTTTCGAAAGCGTACAAGACTAACATGAATACACCCACACCCACACCCACCCACACACTCACCCACTCACCCAGGCGGGAAAAAGCAAAATGCGGTACTTCAGCGTACTTCACTGTACTCCAAGATTATATCAAAACAATTCTTTAAAAAATTTTTGCTATTTGAAGTTTATTATCGACCTGTGTTACGGTGCTTTACGTGGAATCCAGCTTGGATATATCTACTTGGTAGGAAAGTCAAAACACTTAGCCCAACTCTACTAACTGGGGGGCAATAGATTGAGTGCATTTTTTCATTGAAGATATATTAAATAAACTGCGATGTAGCCTCAGGATACGATTTTCTATACATTCCAGTATATTTTATTTAGTTTTCAATTGAATCATAAGTCTTGCAGAATGATTCAAAGTTAGTTTCCATAGAGAGCCGCGTAGTTTCTTCAAACTCACTAAAAATTCTCACTTTTTAAAGATAGGGTATCAGTCTCGTTGCACCAAATTCACTGAAATTCCGCACTATATAAAAATTGGGTATCCATTTGTTTTGGGTATTCACTTCACTGGATATCGTGACTAGTAACTCGCGGATGCCCAGCTTATGGATATTATGACATCTCTGTTTAAAATAAGATCAGAGTATAAAGACATGATTACCTTGAATAACAAAGACATTATTGATGATATTGAATAATTTTGTCGAAGAGAGATAAAAGCTATCAATTGATATGAGAAATAATTAGTCTTTTCGTGGAATATTGTTGTATTTCATTCATATTTAGATGAAACTCTTCTATTTCAAATATTTAAAACTAAAATTTTATCACTTGTTATCCACATGAATAAAAATGGCTATCGAAGTAACACAGAAGAAATGAATACATTTATGTTTACACATATCTTTACTGTGTTTACAAATTTACAATATTTGAACTTTCTTTCGTCTTCAATTTGTTATCGACAAATATCATTTGATTATTCACCTACACGCATTTTCTCGTCAAATCTGTTAGAATTGCATGTCAATTTGCATAATTTCACCTGATTGTCCTTATTAACCTGATGGGCGTTTCAATCAACTTCGTACACTTCATGTGAATATTTTTGCAATTATTTCACATTTAATAATCGATAATAAAGTAGGCTATTTTATTTAATATCTAATTTAAACGAGTCACTAATATTATTTTTTTAGGAAAATCTTCCTAATTTAAGATGCTTTATGCTATACTGTCATCTGGTTCTAAACGCATATGATGGAATAATTGTACCACTTCTATATCGCATGTCGAATTTAGAAGAACTCACTTTGAATTTTGAAATCGTTGCCAAAAAAATATTTATTGATGGGAGCCATTTGAAGGTTATTATTAATCCTATGGAACGGTTAAAGAAATTGGCATTTAATATTCATTCAACCATTGGTCTTGATAATCAAATTGATTTGCCAACAAATGAAAATATGCAAAACACATTCAGAAATTTCAAGTCTAATCAAATTATTTCTTGTGTTGATTATGTTTCAGAGGCAGCAAAAGGTCAATGTCTTATTTATTCATATCCATTTACATGGAAAGAGTGCAATAAGACAACAAATAATTTTCCAAGTGGGTCATTTGAATGTGTGTTCGTAAAATATCATTATTTGATGAACGACCTTTTGAACATGAATTTTTTCTTCGCATTGTCCAATTATCTCCATTGGTCAAATCATTAATTAATAGAAAACCACAAAACAATAAACAATGCACAAAATCAAAAGATTATGAACAAGATTTCTCAATCATTGAATATCCTCACCTTACTTACCTTAATCTATATAAAGCTCATGAGGATTATATCGAACAATTCTTCGATGATTCTAAAACATGTTTACCAAACAATATGGATCTTGCTACCCATGATGAACTACAAGAAAAAGTTACACACAATTTTAAAAGAGATACCACACGGATTAATTGTTCAAAAAGAAATTATTTGTATACTGATACTATTTGTTTACTTCCAAAACATTTGAAACACTATTTTCTTCAACTATATGAAATTCAATAATGATTATTATTCTACATTATTGTTTAAATAAAATAAATTTCTTCAAAATGTTGAATAATACAGCTGTTTAAGTTGTTTATATAGCCTTGAAGTTTTAGCAATTCAGAAAAATACACAGTAGAATTGAGTTTTGAGATTCTATATGTCATGCTTGTAAGGGAAGAGAAAGTGATTGAAAATTTTCACTCTATGCTTCAGTAGTCCTTTTGAGCAATGTGTCACAAAATTCTTTCAGTTACAGATTATTCATTTTTGTAATGAGAAAGCTTTTATAAACACAAGATAGATCTTCATGCATGTGATTCAGTTCTTGACTAGATTTATTGTTTTTTGTTTATTTAAGAAAAACACTGCACAGAAAAAAATGAATGTAATCAAGTTCATTTAAATTATTTTTGTTTATTCGACAAAGACGGATTTTTTATCAGAATCTTGGCCTTTTGAATATCCCATAGTTAACCAACATTTTAAATAAATATAATAGATTTTCATAAGAATAATATTAATCAAATAATGTACCATAACTTTCGATTATATTAACAACTTCATCAAAGATAATCTATGAGAAGAGACAAAAAACAGTAAATAGAAATATTAATGAATTAAGACATTATACATTTTTCCCATCAAGCCATGAAGTTAGAGTAGTAGTAATAGAAAAATGTCAAATCATTGACATTTGGACCACTATTAGCCATTGCTACAACACCGAGTTTTGAATGTTGATGTATGAAATTTTCATCAGTAAGCATTCCATCATAAATACTAAGTGAAAAAAAGAACTCATATTTAAATCACGGTATAAACTTATGTAATCAACCTACCTTTTACCACTTGCATCATCGCTATTATAAATATAAAGAAAGAAAATCATCGTATTTTATCAAACACAATTTGACTTTATTACTAATTCACCGATTGGTGATATCACCACCTATTAAATCAATTAATTAATTATATGAAAAAATATAAATAAAAACCTTTACCTTGAACTAGAAATTTCTATGTCGCAAAAACCGAATCATTTTTACCGATAAACCACGGTATTTGTCAAAACTGTCGGTTTACCGTGGTTATTTACAGCGACGGGAGTTGGTAACCGGAACGGTAAACCCGCGGTAAACCGCCGTTTTTCTGTCCACTTTTTTCACACTTGAAGCTACACAAAGACGACATTTAAAATAATCAAAACTGATGTTTTATCGCAGTACAGCGTGAAAAATGACCGACTGGTTGGTTAACCGCGGTAAACCGCCGGTTTTTATCCGGTTTTCAGTACATGGGTCAGAAATTCATGATCAAGTCCATTTCTCTCATGGCTAAGGCTTTTTCACTTGTCCATAATGCTCGAAAATCAGATGAAAATAAAAAGAAATTTTTAAAACGAAACACATTTTTTCTTTAAGATACATGCTGTACATGGTGTAGTAGCATTGAAGAGACATTTAAAAAAGAAAAGAAAGCTTTTATTCTTTCAAAAAAATATTTGTCTTACTTTAAATTTTGTACGACCAATATGATTATTATTGATATAAATATTGAGGAAAAACGTTTTCATCATTTTGTGATGATTCTTGAGCTGCGACTGAAGCTAGTGGGTTACATGTAGCGTTATTTATGCTATTCGTCATCTGCGTAACGATCTTTTACCCTTTTTCAAATCAATCTTTGATTGAAAGTTCTGATTTTTGTCTTTTGCCATCACGAATCTGTAAAAACATTTTTTTGACTGCTCTAATTGAGAGTTTATAATAAAAGTTATTTACATAGACTCACGTAGTAGCAATCGTCCGCAAGCCGACGTATAGTTGTAACAACTTCACTATACTTTTTGTATTTGATTTTTAAATCTTCATTATTTTTTTCATCATAGATAAATAAGTAATTATACTAAAGAAGAAAGTTAATTATAACAGTCGCAGAAAGTTCCGCTATCAGCTGAAAACAATCTAAACCTGATAGAAATCACTATTTTATTTCGTGTGCTCCAAACAAAACTTGTTGGACAATTTTCTGGTTCTTCAGTATTTTGATGCATCAACTCTCATTTTCTTATTAAGAAGTAAAGCTCTGTATGCCTATAGAAATCAAAATCTGTCATATGTTGTTTATCTAATCATCAAGATAGACTTTTAAACTGTTAATGTTTACATTAAGTGATACTTAGGGCAGTCCAAAAGTAGTGGCGGAGGTACTTTATTTTCTTACAGAAAGCTTTAAAAAAAATTCCTTTTTTTATGAACAGATAGAGCGTCTTTCGCTCTATTTTTCTATGCTATTTGATCACTATTCAACTGGTATCATAATAATAAAATTTCGATAAGATCTGTTTTCTTTGCATATGTGCTGGCAGCATGAATGCTCGTGAGTATTTTTGAATAAAGTTTGATAGAAACTGAATAGAGAACTGCGGTTTTCACCGTTGGAAAGAGGAGATGACGACGCATCGAAACGTATATTACTGATTTTCCTAATATTATTTTTGAAGTTTTTTCATTCAATTCTGTAACCGTCGGGAAAATGCTGTTTTATGAAAAAAGAAAAAAGCAAAAAATGGATAAAAAATCGTAGTAGACATCCGTCTGGAATGTGTATTATCTCAAAATAGTTGAACTTAAACATCTGAGTCTTTCGCACTTTGTATATCTGCAATTAGCGGTTTGAATGAGAACCTTATTATCGAAAATTCACTGTAAACAATTCACAGGATAGGTTTGTTCTATAAAAGGTCAACTGAAAATCTTATAAAAAACAAGTTAGAAAAATCAGTAATACATGGTTCGATGCATCTTCATCTCTTCTTTCCAACAGGGAAAATCGCAGTTCTCTACCTTGTTTCTATCAAACTTTATTCAAAAAATACTCACGAGCATTCATGTTCATGCTACCAGCAAACATGCGAACGCAACAGATTTGATCGAAATTTTATTATTATGATACCAGTTGAATAGTGATCAACTAGCATAGAAAAGTAGAACGAAAGACGCTCTATCTGTTCATAAAAAAAGAAATTTCTTTAAAGCTTTCTGTAAGAAAATAAAGTACCTCCGCCACTACTTTTGGACTGCCCTAAGTAATATGATGATTTGACGTGAATATCTTCTAACAACATTCTATCAATAGAACAGAACAAATGAAGATAAAACTCTCTCATCTTATTGAACGAAAGTCTTTTTTTAATTTTCGATGAGACCAAATTGTTCGATAATTAAAGCACTCTTTTCATTCAACATCACTTCTTCTTTTTCTCTACATTCTATCTATCCTAATCTAATTACCAAATACACTAGACTGTCATACAGAGAAAGAAAACATCTATATATTAATAAGTGTTCATAGAATCTATTTCATCTCTCTTTAGAAAAGCAGAATTCGCAATGCATATTGATTCCGTTTGCTTATATAACAAATGCTTTTTTAAATCGAATATTTGCCGTTCCTGGTTCAAAAGAATTGCTATTTCCAAGTAATGAACGACGTTCTTCATTTTGAGATGTGGGTACAACTCTTCCCTTCATTCACACCCACACCCTCTTTAATAAATTCATATAGATATATTAATAAACGATTAAACTACATAATCGAGCAAGTTCTTATGTTTTAAATACATTTTTTAATGACAAGGATTAAGTGTTCAAGTTTTTAGATTCTGTGCTTTATCGTTTTTGAATGATCTCCGTTTCTAATATATTTTATAGTTTTAAACTAGTACTCAATTATGCCTTCTTATTTGAGACATTATTAAAAATGAAAGAACAGAAATAACTCAAAATGAGACATATTATAATAAAGACACAAAGTATAAGATACAATATTAAATATTGACAAGGAACACGCATCAACTTACGGTTCGAACATCGTAGTGAATTGAAACCTACGATAATCGCTTTAGCTTTTTGAGTAACTGTCAAATTTTGAATTAAGCAGAAAGTTACTTGAGATATACAAAAAAGAAGTTGTTTCGTATTTCAAGTGAAAGTACAAGTAAAATACTTTTATCTGAAAAAGTACGAAAAGTTCAAGTACAAATACTTTCGTCCAACCTCTGAATGACAGTGATCTTGCTGTCCATGATACGCGAGTAGAGGTCGTTACTAAGATGTTTATCACGTTTGTGATGCGTCGTTGCTAAGTTGTACGACGTCTGTTAGAATGCGGGAGCGAGGGGGGGGAGGAGAGGTCTAACTTCTGCCCCCTATACTTCAACTCTCCTTTTAAATCATGTTTCACAATATACACAGATCAAGTATCTTGTCCCTCACAGGCAGGCATAGATACACTTAGATGCGTGATTGAAGCTTTGATTTGATTCATTCATACAAATGTTGTGTTTTTCTTGTTTCGCGTTCTTTATTATTGAAGAGACATGACGTCCTTATCGTCAAAAGACTCAATATAAGAATAACTATTGGTTACTTCAGTGTGTTACCGTTTATAAGCAAAAATGAACGCGAGCTCATTCGCAAGTTTCTTTTACTACTGATAGTCGTTGTCGTTTTTTTTTCGTTCTGTTTCTTTCTGATATATACTTTTTTGGCGAGTGTCGTTACTTGTACTGTCTTAGTTGATCAATAGTGTTCGCCATGCGTACAAAATCAAGCAAAAAGATTCAAGGTCCCAGTCTTTATAAAATATTTGTTGATGCTTATATGAAAGCTCGACCTGATGAAAAACGAGTTGTAAGTTCAGTTTTTTTATTAAAAAAAATAATTTTTCTTTTGAAAAAGGTAAAACATCGTGATGCACAACTTGAATGGAATGAAATAAAGTGGAATGAAGAAAATGTTAAAGAGAAAATTGAGGAATATTTAGAAATATACAATAAACTTGGAACACCTTCAAATCAAGGTATTGAACGTTTACCATCACCTCTTTCTTCAAAACTACCAAAAACTAATCGTATTCGATCAGCAAAAAAACCAAGAATTGATCAATCTAATGATACAACAAATCAGCATACAACAGATGATCAACAATCAAATGATGATGATGATCTTGATGAAGACGATCAACAAGATGATGATGATGATCATGGAGAAAAGAAAAAAAAGGAAAAAGATTATCGTCTTAGAAAACGTAAACCAATAGTTGAAGAATTATTTGAAGATATAAAAGAATTGCCAGCTGTAAAAGGTATTCCATTAGAACCATTATCAAAACAAAAAAGACAACCAGCACAAGAACGTGGTTTTAAAGAATTAAGTGATATTAATGACCGCATTGCTTCATTAGTACAAGTCAGACAAATGGGTTTATCAACACCAGAAAATAGAAAACAATTAAAACAATTAATGAAAGATAGAACAACAAAAACTTATGAAATAAAACGTCTTCAATCAAAACAAAGATCTTCAGATAAATATCGAATTAGACGAAAAAGAATTGTATTAACAATTATTTCTGTTGCATTTCAATTTCATGTTTTTATTTTGATCATTTTTCAGGTTGAACATTTATTTGAAACAAAACCTGAATTACATCCACAATTGAATAAACTTTATCGTCCAGGTACTGGTCGACCACGAATTGAGGAAGAATGTCCTGATCTATTACAAATTATAGAAGAAATTGCGAAAGTTGGTGGAGCAAGTGATGATCGAAGACAATCAGAAACTATTCGACCTTGTTTAACATTAGACGATTTAAGAGAAAAAATTAAACAAAGAGGTTATGATATTAAAAGAACAACACTTTATTATCGGTAAGTTAACAAAATTCTATAGAATAAGCCATACTTAGAAGCGGACTAGTAAAATCGGTACCAAACCAATTGTTTTGTTCTTTTTGTTAAAATTTTGAAGTATTAAAGTTGGTCTATTTTGTTTGCTGTTAATGATTATGAGATATTAGCCTGAAAGTCTCCAACTGACAAGTTTCTAGTCGTTGATAAAATCTTAGTACTAAATATTGACCTAACACTTCCTCATCGCAAGATGATAGTCTCGGATCATGCTAAAATTTGTTATGCTGCTCACAAAACATGACAATATATCAGAAAAGATTCCGCTTTATTATCAAAACTTTGACAACTACTATCATCATACTTTTAGTTGCAATAAGTAACTAGATGAAACGTAATAGACAAAAATAGAAGTTATACATTTTATGTCTTCGTAGGACTGAAGTAATATACTTTTTCTCGAAACAACAAATTGGCTAATCGGTATATTACACGCACAGGTTTTATACCGATTAAGTATTTTAAACTGCTGTTTCAGTCGAAAAAAACTCGACTGACTCCAAGTATCGAAAAAACATCATTGCTTATTATATTAAAAGTTTTCGAATAATCTTATTCAATTTTTCTTTTGTAGTGCATATGTTCCGACAGAACAAAATTAATTTTATATTTACTAGCGATTCAATATCAACCAAAAAAGTTTTGATAAAGACTGAAACTTTGGCAAAAACTGATCTTTTTCGTTTTGCATTGAATATACAAAAAAGAGATATTAGTCACTAAATTGATCACAGTTTAGTAGGAAAAGTATTTCAAGTTTATAAACATCATTCGGCGATTCTGATTCTACCACAGAACCTTTTATTCTTTTAGTGTGAATACAAACAAAATACCAGATCCACCTCATATTTACAAATATGATAATTAGATACCGTCTCACTTTGAATGCTTAAAACTGAATTGGATTGGTTTTTGTTTGGATAACATAAGTTGAGAGAGTAATGTTGAGCAATAATTCGAAAGATCTCTTGAACGATTAATACTTTTCGAACACCGATCCATAGTGAAATAAATAGAAATGAGAAAAACGAAACTTTCTTTTTTCTTTATCTCATCATTAGTTGGTCGTAGAAAAATGTTTCTATTCGTACCGAAAGGAATTGTAATCTTAACAAAATGATATTATGAACTTTGTAGAACATTAATCTTCTTCATTCTTGAGATAATTCCATCAAATTAAAAGCACTCCGATCACTTCGATGATGAGAAATACATACTGACATTTTTTCAGGAAATTATCAACCTTATTCTACATTTCATTGAATGAATTATTATTCTTCAGAATTTTTATTCCGCATTTTAGGCATGATTTTAATTACGATTAGAATTCAATCAAACTAAGAATATTCAAAAAAAAACAGACGCTAATGTTTCAAATTTTTTCCTATTTGCCATCCTATAAATTTGAAACCGATGGTAAAAATGTCATAAGTAAAGAGAAAATATCTATCGATGACAGATGTGTATTGCACTCTTACAGCCAATGTAGCTTAGTTTTTTGTCGACTGCATCATCATCGAAGAAACTTGTCGACTTTTTTTTAGGAAGCATCTAAATCACATAATGAAAGTGAAGAGACTCTGTTTTTTTTATGAGATATCGTTCATCTTATTACCTGATTTTGAATCTTATTTGTTGGGATTATTAAAATAAATCGTAATCGATGTTGAATGTAAATGATTCTGATAACATTTTAACTTAGCTAAAGACTTAACGAAATTGAAACGAGCAGTTAATCCCAATGAAGATACTCGTCAAGTAAGTACTTGCCAAATAGTGCTGAATGTTTCTTGAGTACTTCTATATTGCTTTTGTGTGATTTATTGCCTGTAATAACTACCCAGAAACTACAGGCATTTTCTTTTTGAAAGTATTGTATCATGGTATATTGTATGAAACGGGTGAATATTTTTGAAGTTTGTTAAAACTGATTAGATCGAGTCACCTTCAATGCATTCGGATGAAAAGAATTCATCCAAGTCAGAAAGTCTAAATCAGCGGCAGCTATGAGATAAATTTTTATTAGTGAAATATATTCTGAAACTGTTTTCTTCTTGATTGATTTGAATTTTTTTTAAATAAATAATTCGAATTTGGATGGAAAGCTTTCTCCAAAATCGTAGATAACTAGAGTTGAGAGTCGTAAGGTCTACCGATGATACGGTGAATAAACTTTCAGCATGAGTATTTTCAACTGTATATTATTGTGTATAAGCATGTTTTCAAAAAATAAAATACGTTGCTTTAAGAAATACTATGGAGATGCAAAAATGAGAAAATAATTCACGAAAATGTCTGTACTTACTGCTAGGCATGACATACATCTTTGGTATGAAACGGTAAATAAAAATTTGTTCGACTTGTCTTATTTCGATTACATATTACTAATTTTGAGAATGTCCATTATTATATTTGGGTTATGACAAAAAAAATTTGTTTTGATACATTAATAATGAACATGTTCTGATATAAATTTGTTTTTCAATTTTTTTAGTCTCTTACCTCATCGTGCAAAATCAAGAGATGGTCGTCGTCATGTAAACACTGCTCCAGTTCGTCTTCGTCGTGCTCAAAACGATGATCATAGAAAGCATGAAGATGGTCATTTTGCTACAGCAACAATACGTTATATGAAAGATTTAGCTTCTATATTTGGCAATGATTGTGTTTTTTATTTATCTCAAGATGATAAATGTAAAGTTCCATTAGGTTTACCTGCGGCTAAAATTCAAGCACCAATGTTAATGCATTTGGATTATCGTATACGTTTGCCAGATCATGATTGGATAGTTGCACCTCGACATCAATTAACACCAAGTGTATATGCAGCATGTCTCTTATGTGAGGATGGAGATTTAGGTTATTCAGGTCCAACATATATTGCAATACGCTCAGCTAAACATGACCTATCAAGTGCTGAATCTCATGCACTAGATTTTGATCGTCTTGTTTGTTTAAAAGAATTTGAAGAAGTATCACGTGATGAAACTGGACAAGTTAAACCGATTCTAATTACTACAGTTGATGGTGGTCCTGATGAAAACCCACGTTTTCCAAAGACACTTGTTGCAAGTATTAAAAAATTTAAAAAATATAATTTAGATGCACTTTTTATTCTTACACATGCGTAAGTTTTTTGTTTCTTGAATGAAAAAAGTTTTTTTTAGTTAATATATTTCTTTTGTAAGCCCTGGTCAATCCGCCTATAATATAGTTGAACGTCGTATGGCACCATTATCTCATGATTTAGCTGGTCTAATTTTACCACATGATCATTTCGGTTCACATTTAAATGAATCAGGTGGAACAGTAAATGTTGATTTAGAAAAATTAAATTTTCGTAAAGCTGGGCAAATCTTAGCCGGAAGATGGAATCAATCAGTTATTGATGGATTTCCGTGTATTGCTGAATATATTAATCCACCAGCTACGACAGACGATGAACGTCGACAAGTTGATATAAAAATTGTTATAGATGAGCTTTTACGAAAGTTAGTTTTTCTTTTTTTTTCTTTATTATTTCATGAATTTTTTATTTTTATTTTTAAAAATAGAATTTGTGCTGAAGAAGAAGTAGAAGAAGGACATGAATTTCGTGTTCGTGCATCAGATGAATATTATCAAGAAAATGCTCGTGCACCACGAGAAAAATTTGGTGAACAACCAAAATATGATATTGATGAATATTGGTGTGCTACACATGTTTTACAAACACAATATACATTACAAATAATTCGTTGTAATTCAGTTGAATGTTGTGGACCATGGCGTTCAAATTATGATGAAGTATTTCCCCATCGATTTTTACCAGCACCTGTACCATTTGAACGTACACCATATGGTATTAGAATGGCAGAGAGAGATTATCAAAGAGGACAATTTTATGGATCATTATTTCAACGAATTCAATATCATGGCGTTGTTATTCAACATACACAGGTTAGAAAAAAAAAGTTTGTTTGTTATTAACAATTGAATAGAAATTGAGATATTGATGAAACAATTTTATTCTCATTTCTGATCAAATCTAGCAGTCTCTGACAGCTAAATAATAATACGTTTAACGGTCAACACGATATGAAGTTTATTCACTCAAGTGATGAGAATGAAAGAGAAAAAGCGGTAGGAAGAGCTACTTATTCGATACATCATCAATCATTGTTGATAGGGGGATGTCCATTGACAGTACTCGATTTTTTACAATGAAACATAATGCGAATTATTTTACTCATAGATAGCCGTGATTCTAACACAAATATACAATGATATCCGTAGTTTTATACTACTTCTAGTTATTGATAGAATAGTTTCAATTCGATCAAGACTTCAATTGAAATAGATGATCTTGTTTATGTCTAATTCAGTATCTGAGAATGAGATTACAAGTGATTAGATCGGTCAAAACATGAAAGGAAGCC